TTAATAAACTTACTAACTACTAACGTACTAACTAAACATTAATAATTATACGTACGTAGTTACGTAGTAACGTAACGTAACGGTACGTACTATATCTCTCTCTCTCTCTCTCTCTCTCTCTCTCTCTCTCTCTCTCTCTCTCTCTCTCAGAAGTGAGCTTGAACCCTTAACGAATCAATGATAGTGTAAGCATCCGTTCTCTGATACTTCTGACAAATGCATTAATATATGCCGGACAAGGTACCAAATTCATTTCCTTCACAATAAGGGGATTCATGTACTAGAATACTTACTCTAACAATAATTAGGCTGAAGTACAATAGTAATAAACAATGGCAACAATATTCACAGAACATCCTACAACTCTGTCTGCTGAAGTTCCCAGGACCCATAGAAGATCGTATCAAACTCAAGTTATCTTCACAGTAAGTAGATGCATGTACTAGAATCCTTTCTTTCACGATAAGCAGACTCAAGTAAAATAGTCATAAAGCATGGAAACAACATTCAGATAGTACTCTACAACTCTATGTGCTCAAGTTCCCAAGACACATAGATGATCATATCAAATTCATGTCCAGGAGTGCAATATTTATAGACCGACCTTTGATAGAAACTTTCCTTTCTCAAAAACCAGTACACGCAAATAAGGGGCTACACCCTTTGCTCTAATTGCGGCAAAAATTCCAGCTGCACCACCTCCAACAACCACCAATAATTGCTCGGACACCTACAACAAGCAAACTGTGGAATGAAAATGCCAAACCAAAAGATACACAGGATATAAGTAAAACATTAGAAATACATAATTTTGTCCTAAATATACGTCATTATCAAGAGAAGCAACTTGAAGCTGCACTTATCTCCAAACTTAGGAAAACTTAGGACAGACATTCCACAGAAGTTGGTAGAGAAGCATCATATTCATCATACTATAAATACTCTGCAGTCACAACCATAGGACCAAATTGACGAAAAAATATACCTGAATTTTAATGAAGCAAAAATGGCATTATCTGAGTACGCAACAAGATCTGTTTACATCATGATAGACCTATACTCATTCAAAGTATTGAAATGTCCAAATTACTCCAAAGCCTTAAGCAGAATAGGGCAAAAGTAGTCCTAGAAAGTCATTAGCATATGGTGACATGCATGGATCCTCTCTAAGCAACATGTGGACATCCCATTTGCCAAGTTGACAGCATGTATGGAAAATTCTCTCTCACAATAAGGCAAGTTATGAGTTAGTACTTAAATAAATAGTTACACACGAATGTCGATAAAAAACCACCACCTACTAACTGAAAGATTTTCCTTTTTTTTTTGCGGTTATTGTACACTTGTACGAACGCGTTCTATCAGGAATAGTTTTGGCATGTTCACTACACTACACACATGGAGTACTCCAGTCATTTTTACCCATGACACTAGGGGATTTAATCTGTCACATAAAACTAAAAATATAGGTATTTCAGGTGCATGTTGTTCACAAATGACATAGTTTTGATTGATGAGACCTGCAACACAAAGTTAGAACTTTGGAAGGATGCTGTAGAATCTAAAGGTTTTAAACTTCGTCGAACTAAAACAGCTATGGAATGCAAGTTTAGTAATAATAGACGTAGAGACAAGGAAGTAAAAATTGACAGCTAGGAAATACCAAAAAGACCGCATTTCAATATCTTGGGTCGATAATCTAGAAAAATGGAGAGATTGAGGAAGATGTCGCACACAGAATTAGAGCTGGGTGGGCAAAATGAAGATGTGCAACCAGAATTTTATGTGATCGCCGCATAACAATGAAGCGCATACCAATGAAGCTGAAGGGTAAGTTCTATAAGTTGTGAGACCAGCTTTGCTCCATGGGGAAGAATGGTAGTTTTTAGAATTGTTAAGTTTGTATAAATGGTAAAGGAATTACAAAAGGATTAATCTACGGACGACATCCCACAAGTTGGGTGCTCAGACTACAAAAAAATATAGGAAAAACAAATGATGCCAAAATGGTTGACAAAGAAGATTCAGACTAGGGAGGGGAGGGCAAAAGAAGGGAAAGGGAGTAGTAAACTTAAGATAAAGTCTTCTACAAGGTATGTAGAAAACGTAAAAACCAAAAGTAGACCCAAAGGTGAGCTGGCGGGGGGGGGGGGGTGTTTGTTGACTTGCTTGGAACTAGACCAGAGAGCTGTGGGCTGATGGTGGGTAAAGTGGAAGGAGAGTCCGTATATTGTTGAGCGAATAGTTGTTGGCAATTGGGTCTATAAGCTGTGAGTTTTATGTGCGTTGTCACCTGATCTTGAGAGACATCGATCCTTAGCAACATCAGATCAGCACAGCAGAGATGAACGCCAAGAAAGATGCGAAGGGAAGAGGGGGGTCGTATAGATTTGAGGGCAGCAGTCATCAGCAACATCAATTTAGCGTTTCATCAGAGTGACAGATGGATGAGGAAAGAGCATGCAGTACACAGACAGATGAAGGAGAAACAGAAGAGAGATAGGAGTTTATGAAGTTGAGAATACAGAGAGACTGAGATGAGGGGAAAGAAAGTAGAAAGAGATAGAGAAAGCAAGAGAAGAGAAGGGGTGAGAAGTAATAGAGAGGCTCCACAGCAACAAAATCAAGAAAAGAGAAAAAGTGAGAAGAAGAAGGGGGGAGAGGGGGAATGCGAAAAGACAGCTAAACAAGAGAAAAAGTTTGAAAAATGGACAAGAAAGGTAGGAATCGAGACTAGAGCAGGGAAAATGGCGAAGGTAGAAGAGGAAGATAGAGAGCAAAAAGAAGGGAGAGAAGAACATAATAGATTCAAGGGGAAATCACTGTACCTGTGCCCCGTGAAGCTCCTACTTTTGCCAGACAGTCAGCCATTGAGTTGGCCACCCGAAATATGAGTTTGAAGCGAACTTGTGGAGGAGTGTTGTAGAGGAAAAAATTATGCTCAAAGGTGGAAACAAGCCTCAATGGGGCGGAATATTGGGCACTCAAAAAACAATAGACCCATAAAATGAGTGTAACAAAGATGAGGATATTGAGATGGATGAGTGGCAAGACAAGAAGGAATAGAATTCAAAATGAATCCATTCGCAAAAATTTAGGTGTCGCACCAATAGGCGATATGATGAGAGAGAGTAGACTTAGGTGGGCTGGCCATTTGTGGCACAGACCCAATACAGAATCTATTAGAAGGTACGAGTTAGTTCAAGTAGAAGGCTCAAAAAGGGCAAGAGATAGGAACAAAAGGACATGATTGGAAGTAGTAAGAAAAGATACAAGGACTCATGACCTCATTGAGGGTATGGACCATAATGGAGCAAAATGACAGACCAGAATTCGTGTAGCCGACCCCAATTAATTGGGAAAAGGCTATGATGATAATGATGATTATGATGATGCTTAGTTTTGTAAATTTGACAAGTTATCAAAGCCAAGCTAGATTTTTGCAACCTACCCAATGAAACCCAATATGGTTAATTCTATGCAATTTGAGAGAATGGATAACTAAAATATCAACGTAGTTCCATGCATCTACGTATTTAAAAATGTGGAGTACTGCATGTGCAGCCACCAATTTACATGGTTGACGTGATGAAGCCATCAAATCCTAAAACCTTAGGGCTTCTAATCAAAGGAAGAGACAAGCCCACTGACGTTAATAACGGTCCAATCTGAATAGTCAAATACTCAATTATAATTTTAGGCAGGAAAATTCAAACTCATGCAAGATTCATGTGTAAAACATCTCAAAGAGAGGTGAAACCATTTATTGGCATAAATACAACAAGGTTTGACTAAAAATTTGGGATTATTAGATTTCAAATTTCCATCAGGGAACAAGTAAACATGTAAAAACCTTTTAGTGCCTTCCTTCAAGATGCACTTTGGAGAATTGGCATGCTGCCCTTACGAGGAAAGCCATTTGTGAAAACTTGGGCTCGGATAGAGTTCATATGAGGTTTCTGAAAGAAAAAAGGAGATAATCGCCAATCTTTATGTATCTTTTATGCCCATATGGTGCTCATGTGAATACCAGTTTTCTCTCAAGATCCATGCCTTTTTTTGGACGTGTCAAAAGGGAACCTAATTTAGGAGTGAGACCAATTCAGTATCTATACTACATTATTAAGCCACAGTTAAGGAGCGGACATGTGTCGCAAGAATAAAAAGGGAACATATTGCTAGAAGAGAACGTATGGCAGCTGACCTTCTAATAGATAGTGTTTAGGGAACTATATAAGGTAAATGGACTCCCATGGGGAAGAGATATGGATATAGATTTTTATTGAGATTCAGAGATTTTGGAGGTTTTTGAATAAAAAAGAAGTAAATAGATTCCCAAGGGGAGCGAACACCTTTCTCAGCCAATGGGAAAATATACTCTACCACCAACCACGAAAGGTGCAAAGACCAAACAACTGGCTTCCACCTCCAGAGGGCACCATCAAGCTCAATTTCGATGGTTGCTCTCTGAGGAACCCCGGCCCTGCAGGAGTCGAAGGTGTCTTTAGAGACCATCATCGCAATATTCTCTTCACCTATTATGAGCATTTAGGCCATAAAGATTCTCAATACGCAGAAGCCATGGCTCTGTTGTTAGGTCTGAAAAGCTTCAACCATTCTTGAGGGCCACACTTGTTAGTGGACGGAGATGCACACAATATTATCTCCTGGGCAACCAGAACGACACCACCTCCATGGTACCTAGCTTCGATTTTTGATGAAATTTCTTACATTTGCAGGGATATGGTCGTCCAATGGAAGCATATCTGGAGGATGTCCAACGAGTTTGCCGATCTTCTGGCGAAAGACAGGGCTAGGACCCAAGAAGAAGACCATGCGCGGCCCATCTCCTTTTTTACTGTGGACCACAGAGGGTACACAACGTAGAACATCTCATTGTAATTGGGTAATTTTATAAGCCCAATTTTTGGTGAACCTACTGTAAATCCTTTGTAACCACGCAGCTATATAAGCCCAATTTTTTGTGACCCTACTGTTAATCCTTTGTAATCGTGCAGCTATATAAGCCCATTTTTTGTATAAGGTCTGATGACCTATTATTTACCGAGAGCATCGCATAGAGGGCTCTCTCAGAGTACCACACATCTGTAATCTAATTTCTCTTAGCAATACAATAAGTTAACTTTACTAAAAAATAAAAGGGGAAGAGATATGGATAGAGAAATTTTATGGAGATTGAGACATTTTAGGAGGCTTTCAATAAAACAACTAAAAATTTATGGAGATTTAGACACCACTAAACATCAAGTATTTTCCAACCTTGGAGATTATACGTATAAAACTTGGTCAGTACATGGCTATGCTAAATGTTTCAAATATTTCAAGTTATAAATTTAGAATTTATATCATATAATATATTACTATATATATACATACATATATATATCTATGTGTGTGTGTGTGTGTGTGTGTGTGTGTGAAGTGTCCAAAATTCTCACGAGGCATGAGTTTGAGGCAGCCCACGCAATGGGTGACCTGCACAAAACAATGAAAAGGCAAGAAAAAGAACCCAAAAAAAACGGTTCGGCCACCCACATGTCGAGCGCTTGGCACCTGAGGAGATAAAAAAATCAGGTGTGTAGCCACCCACGGGCCAGGTGCTCAGCAAACCCTGGGTGGCATCCCACATACCAGGTGCAGCTCTCCCAAAAACAACAAAAAATGGGTCCATAACCAATAAAAGATAGGGAGAGATGAAGAAGTGAGAAA